TTAACCCATTGACTGTCACGCAAATTTAGCGCGTCTTGCCCTGGGTGCCACGGTTTTATTTTAAAGAAAACATGAAGTTTTACAAAATATAATAATATTAAGTTACCGATATAATATTGCAATGGCATTTACAGTATTTTTTTAATTGATAATCAATATGTTCTCTATACTATATACATTTTTCATTCATCCTTTTTCTAATAGTTCCTAACTCAAATAGCCATTTGTAGCCAATCTAAACTTGCAGCACCCATTACGAGATATCTCGTAGCTGGCAGTTTTGGTACAGACGCTTACTACGAGATATCTCGTAGTTGGCAGTCAATGGGTTAATCGATGTTACCTTTCGTTTGTACGTTGAACCCTTCAGATCGTATTTCTGATGTAGCTTCACCGACGAGGGCAGCAGGTTATTCATGGCGATTAATCTAACATTCTTGCTATTGCAACGATAGCAATACAACCCGAAGAACTTTGGCAGTAACGTCCTCGGATTTTGATTCAGGTTCTACAACAAATTAGTGACCGGGTCAGCGGTGTTCTAAGAAGAATTCTTCAGTCTTCTAAAGATTTATTTACGGATTTAGTTACCATGTAATATCCAGGAAGTAGGGTCTGCAGAAACTCTCCCTCTTTGTGTTGCACAGTCTTTATGATGAACTCGTCATCATCGGTTAGGTAGAAGATACTCCCACTAGCGCCTGGATTCGATAATTCGCGTAACGGTGCGCTGCACATCGACATCTGAATATTCAAAGCGACGATTAGCCGGTGTCGCAACGATTACCATGGTCGGCAATACAACGGGGGAATGTTAAATGATATTCCTTCGTCGCTTCGTCGAGCAAATGCGCGCTGTGTGTACTCACTAAAAAGTCGTCCGGTTGGATGCCGAAGAGATCTCGAAAGTAACGAAATGCAATGGGTGCGTAATTTTTGAACTTAAACTCGGAGAAATGGTGAGCCGGCGTGTGATTCGAGCCTTCGCTGGGGAAATTCGTCGTTTCGACGGTCATGAAATCCTGCATCAACAGATCACGCTCCGGCTTGCTCGCCAGACCGCCGACCGCGTGCTGGATGCCCAATTGTATCGATCCCATGATTTGTGTCGTTTGGATCTACAATGCAAATCAACGGAAACACGGTGTGAGCGACCGACATCGACTACGAGAAAATGCCGAAATTCTATCGCAACGATCTATTCAATCAAAATCTACTTTTTACTCTAGCCAACGGGTTACCATTTAGCTCTATTACAACTTGAACTACAACGAAGACTTGCGAGTGTAATTGAATCTAGATTAATCGAGCCTAGATTTTACTAGACGATGATGACTGCGATTCTACGCGAAGTGAACATTCGGTGCATCAGTCGCGAGAAACAGGAGCTGAATAAAAATGTGTCTCGTCTTTCAGTGATTCGAATCGATTGAACATCTCGCTAAGAATATAAATCCGCGGTCGAACGATGCGCGCGATCATCGAATAAAGAATGGCCAACAAGTATCTCATCCTTTACGCCTCGCTCGAAACATTTGATCGTTCGATTAGAAAGTTTCGGACAAAGTTTCTTCTCGGAGACCCTTCATCAAAGTTTGCGCTTCGAGTCGCATTCCGCCCCAACCCTCTGTCGCTTTTTTCGCTAGAATTCCTTCCGTAGATTCGAACCGATTATAACGTTTTTGCTGAATTCAATACTTCACCTTTTTGTACGTGATTTCACCTCCCACCCCAACTCTTCTGTGGCCAATCTTTCTTTCTCGCTCCGACTTGTTCCTCGACACCCCCGCAGGGGTTTTGAGCCCCGTGGTGCCATGCTGTGTTACCGAGCTCTGCAAACAGTACAATACAGTTACGACGCTGCTAGCAGTGATGCTTACCATTCCGAAATTTAAGTCTACAAAAGAAGCTCGGCGCTGGTCTTATCGTCCCCCGTTAGTTACCGCCCTTCGCTGTCCTAATCCCTCGACCGTGCTCTACAGGTCGGCTAACCTCTCTACGATACTCGAAACTTTGCTGCCGCCACTACCTGTAGCAGAACTTACGGTTCCTTCGTCGAAGGAATGCTGTGACTGGAAACATCCAGTTTCGGGTGCGTCCTTACTTAACGCTAACTACAAGGTACACGTATTATTTAACAGTTTATTCGTCAGATGTCCATTAATAAGTTTTCGAAAGACAGTTTAACAATTCTCCTCAAAGCAATTTTCTTGAACAGTGCTTAATAATTTTGTCGCAAATACGAACACGCCAAAAGAATTGATTCACTGACTTTTAACATATTCGATTTTAATTCATTAGCGTATAAATACGAACGCTGTCGCAACGGACAGCGTCGACGTGTGAAGCAAACAAATTGTCTGAGTAATAAACTGTTCTGTCTACAAGAGATGTCATTGGTACATTTTATGCTGCGTGTAATACTGGACAGGGAAGGGCAGGTGACATTATCACGTGCTCCGGGGGCGGGTCTCACCCTTAACCCCGGATTACTCATAGGGGGTGTGGTATAAACCCCGTTAGGATATATTTGAACCTGGTGACGGACGGTGAGTTAGCTGTCCGAAAATTGCTCGAACATCGATTCGACGTTCCCGGCGATCATCGGCATCTCCCGATGCACGTCTAGATTTCCCAAGTCGGCATTTCCGACCCCATTCGGTAACGATTCTATTTCAAAATTCAGCCAGCTCGGGCAAACCGGTGGCCGGCCTGACACACTTCGGTGGCCGTTTGTTTCATCGGCAAGACAAACACCGGAGGAAGCGTCGCAAGACCCGGCCTGTTACGCGTCATCCGAATGAATAATTATTCGACTATTCTCGTCTCTGCTGTCTCTAGCCACACTGTTCGCCTATCTCTCTCGCTGATCCAACCGCTTTATTTACCGCGCTTTTTTTCCCGGGAAAACCGATTCACCTCGTTAAAAAAACCGACTCACGTTCTCGATAAGACAATGGCGCATCCCAGCTCGCGGCCGGAATCCTGAAAACACGCGGCCGCGCCGCGTAATCGCTGGCTAATCTCGCGTCACGATCTCGCGTCACGGGACACGCTCGGGTGTCGACGACGACGACAGATTGATTAACGCCACACCCGGCCAAAAATAGATTCCGATTCCGCTGAATGAGTCGACGGGGCGACGCGCGTCCGGAACGACCATTGACAGGAAATTAAAGGGAATCGATACGGCCCATCATCCGTCGTCTAGTGCGTTCGAGCGAGCGGGTCCTCAACGCTGCTCGGAACCTTGAAGAACCGAGTGACAATGGTGACGCATACTGGTGCATGTGCGATGCTATTCCCGGACCGTGCGGATTTTTCAATGGGATCACAGTGACGCCGACATTTACGCGAACTTCGTGCGAACGGTAATTCGAACGCCGTCCTCAACGCCGAACGTACCGCCTCTGCTTCCAACTATGTACTAGCTTCCGGGGAAATGATTCAACCGACGTTAACTAGTAGAGCATTTCGAGTGTGTTCGATCCCGCATGCGACGTGTGACAGACAGTTTTAGTGCCCGGCTGATTTTAGTGCTGTTTGTGTGAGAGTGCTGTTCGCCGAATGCTCGGCGAATCGTTTTCGGTAGCTTTCTGACAGCGGAGCATCCACTAATCGAGTTGAACTAACAACGCATCTAGCCTAAAGCTTTCGAAGTAGATTCGTAGAAGGAATCAAAGCAGACAGCGGAGATCCACTTGTCCGAACTCCATTTATCAGAACGAAATGTTGGCCTGATCTTGCGAATCTCTCCTATCATCTAAAGCGCTATCGAACCGCAATTATGCGATCACCTAGGTTGCATCGCGAACCTCTCGCATCCCCGTGCGAGGAATGCATTAAGTTCGATTAAGTCCATTATCCCAACGAGAACTCAGATTGTTTGAACTTGAAGTTACCGTGTACCGGATGCGTTGTAAACAAAGTTAGCATAACTTACAATCCGGAGTTCGTATAAACGAAGCTTTACTGTATACTTTAAATAGCAGTGCGTCAAGCACGAAGCTTGTCTAGCTAAGAGAACACACGTTCTACTTCTTACGTTGTTAACTCACGTCCTTGTTGCACTCAGTCCATTAATTGTGAACGCGTCGGTAGCACGATCTTATGTGAACGAATGAAACTAACAACAACGAATTTGGTGTTTTCAAGAGACCGATGTTTGGAATGATGGCTAACAGATACTCACAGAAGTTAAACTGCAGGGTGCGGCCACGAGAAATTCGACCGAACGATTCGTTTACTCACGAAAGGGAAATGCGATTCGCAGCGACGACGCAATTTTCGTTCGTTCGAGAGAGAGATCGTTCTCGTTTACTTTTTCTTTTTTTTTGTCGCGAAATCACGGCGGTCGGAGGAACGGCGATGGTCGTAGACAGTACCTTGAACGCGGCAAATCGACCCGGCACCGTCGACATTCCACGGTGAAGAATGAAACGTGTGAAAATGCGCGAATCGAACAGCGGGAGATAGCAAGGATTTTTCTTACATAACAGCCGTGTCTGCGAGCTACATCTGTTCCGTGGCATCGTTACTTCGTTGGCCGCGCTTTTTCATTTAAATCTAGCGCCGATGCATACGCCGATGTTACATAAATAACCGGGACATTTTTTTTTATGTAACGTTTAGCTACGTCGAGTAATTCATTATATCGGCGAGCAACGATTATATGTGTTCGACGGAGCCATAGTTTCGTCTATCAACTGTTTTAAACAGTTAATCGCGCGAATTAAATAACCCTTAGCCGTTTCGCGAGCAAAATTTGTAAACACTTCCAAGGCTTTCTTGCGTAAATCTTTGTTTTCTACGAACAAACGAGTAATTGCGTGATAGTTTACAAGAGGGAGCTGCAGTTCTTTGTATCAATATGTGCGGGAGAGGTTTTAATGTCTTTTTAAAAAATTTATCTTTTTTAAATTTCATTACATATTTAACAGAATCCCGCTGTGAAGTCCTAAACGCCCTTGTTGAATACTTATTATCAAAATCTTATTGTCAGTTTTGCAAATATTAAATGTTTTTTTAATTTTTTAAAGAAATGTAATGTTTTAAAATGGTATATTAATTTAAGGTAATAAATTAATATTATATAGCGTATATAGCATATTAATTTAAGGTAATAAATTAATATTATATAGCGTATATAGCATATTAATTTAAGGTAATAAATGAATATTATATAGCGTATATAGCACATTAATTTAAGGTAATAAATTAACATTATATAGCGTATATAGCATATTAATTTAAAGTAATAAATTAATATTATATAGCGTATATAGCATATTAATTTAAGATAATAAATTAACATTATATAGCGTATGTAGCATATTAATTCAAGGTAATAAATTAACATTATATAGTGTATATAGCACATTAATTTAAGGTAATAAATTAACATTATATAGTGTATATAGCATATTAATTCAAGGTAATAAATTAACATTATATAGTGTATATAGCACATTAATTCAAGGTAATAAATTAATATTTTTTAAAAAGGAAAATTAATACCTCTCCCGCACAAAGCGTGTCAACTGCCTGAAACGATTAACTGAATCAGCAAGATCTTAGCCCTTGTGAGTGAAATATGTAAATATTAAGGCTCTGAATGAATGATATTTCTTGCATATACTATTCTTTCAAGCATGCAGGCCAAGAATGAAATTAATTATGCGATAGAATACGAGAGGCAGCTATAGTTCGACGTATCGACAATTTTAATCAACGTTCGACCATCTGCGGGCCATTTTGGATCTTCCAGATAAGACCGTTTTCCCAATAGTTGCTATCGCAGAAAAATTCATTTACTGGAACATTTAAAAATCGTCGACCCTGTTTGGAGCTCAGATTTAAATTCCTCGTGAATATGCATCTAACGTGGTCTCGCCTAACAGCCATAGAAACAAACCGGCGGAGCGGAAGAGCGATATTGTACGTACGTCTCGAGAATTTCGATAGTGCGCCCCCATCGGTTATCTGTTCCGCTCACCGGCGCGCACCGAATCATGCGAGCGTGAACACTGCATAATATTAAATTGTTGCATAAATTCCGCTCGCTGCGAATCCCCTTGGATTCGACGTTTTAAAAACGATTTACGAAACGGAACTAACGGACTATGTACGAATGCCATATATTGTACGCTATCGGGACAAGTTCATCGGCGAATTAATTAACCGAGACTGCAATCGATTTTCAATTCGCTGCTCGTACAAAAAACAGAAGAAAAAAAAAGAAAAAAGAAAAGAATCAGTTAAATCCCACGAACTCCGTGTCCATTTTTCGACCTAGTTGCTTCTCTTGTACACTTCGATTTCTCTTGGTCAAAGCTTTCATAATTCATACGGAGATTATAAGTCGCTTCTGAGCTCCGACTAGGGCTGCACAGGACATGTTCCGAACGGTTCGATGCTACCAAAAAATCGAAGTTGGCGAAGTTACACCGTTGTTCGTGCTGCAAGAGGATTGCTTTAACAAGATCATCGTAATGCGTCCTCAAGGTAGCAAAGAGGATCCAAACAAGTGTCATTTAGCTGAACATAGAATATGCGATGTTTCGTCTACACGAAATAACCGAGCACGTGCTCGTTAACCAGTTAAGTGTGTTTGATAAATATATATCCGTCATGGAGATGTGGCAGAATTTCGTGTCATGACGATTATATCCGTCATTCGTAAAATTTTGTTACAATTTGATATTTAAATTGTCATTCTGGCGAAAACTAAATTATATTCGTAAATTTTAATATGTTCAAAATGTGTAGAGGTCGAGACGAAATGAGACGAACAAATGAAAATTATAAATAATTTCAGTTGGATTCATAACTTCCTGAGAGCATCGCTTGGATTATCGGCGCTTTGCAAAGAGATGGCCACAGTTAACTGGTTAAAAAACGAGAACAGTGAATCGGCGAGATAGAGGAACTTTGAGCAGGATCGAAAGCAACAGATTGAGATCGTGTTTGCAGCCCTAGACGTGGCAGCCTGGAAGCGGGGCCTGCAAAGGCTCCGTAATTGTCCAGGTTTATATGCGGGGTGTTTTAGCAACTTACGTCAAACGCCGTCACCTTGTCCCCCGTCGATTTATCTGTAACAGATCGGAAAGGCATAGATAACGTTGTGGATCGCGTGAAATAAGGTCACGTAACAGTCGGCCCGTGCACCACCTATACCTTGTGTCCGCCATTAGTGAATGAAACTGAAGTCCCGTTCTCTAAGTTGCGGTGGAACGAGAATCGCATGGCCGTGCCGATCAGTTAATGCCGATGCATATTCCGGGAAAGAAACGAGAAAGTGGAACGTTAACCGAGTTCAAAAACGAAAGTCGTGCACACGCACCCGGGTGCAGAGCCGATTCACTATTGACAGCGTCAAAGTGAACCGTTATACGGTAATGTCTCCCTAACCGACGCTCGGTTCGCGCAGAAAAATGGACAATTTGGGAAGAGGAGATACGATTATTCGAGTGTTGCGGTTTGATTTCATCGTTACGCATTGTCAACAACTATAATAAAAACGATCACGAATAATCGTATGCATACGCCGATGTTACATAAATAACCGGGACATTTTTTTTTTATGTAACGTTTAACTACGCCGAATAATTCATTATATCGGCGAGCAACGATTATATGTGCTCGACGGAGTCATATTTTTGTCTATTAACTGTTTTAAAACAGTTAATCGCGCGAATTAAATAATCCTTAGCCGTTCCGCGAGCAAAATTTGTAAATACTTTTAAGGCTTTCTTGCATAAATCTTTGTTTTCGACGAACAAACGAATAATTGCGTGATAGGTTACAAGAGGGAGCTGCAGTTCTTTGTATCAATATGTGCGGGGAGAGGTTTTAATATCATTTTAAAGAATTTATTTTTTTTAAATTTCGTTATATATTGTCATATACTTGTCAACAAAATCTCATTGTCAGTTTTGCAAATATTAAATGTTTGTTGAATTTAAAAGAAATGTAATGTTTTGAAAAGGTATATTAATTTAAGGTAATTATGTTATATTATATAGTATATATAGCATATTTTAATTTAAGGTAATAAATTAATATTATATAGTATATATAGCATATTAATTCAAGGTAATAAATTAATATTATATAGTGTATATAGCATATTAATTTAAGGTAATAAATTACTATTTTTAAAAAAGGAAAATTAATACCTCTCCCGCATATAGCGTGTCAAAGTGAACCGTTATACAGTAATGTCTCCCTAACTGACGCTCAGATTGCGCACAAAACTGGACAATTTGGGAAGAGGAGATACGATTATTCGTGCCTCGCGGCTCGTTTTTATTACAGCTGTTGACAATTCGTAACTATAAAATCGAATCGCAAGGCTCGAATAATCGTATCTCCTCTTCCCAAATATTGTCCATTTCTATGGACGATCTGAGCGTCAATTAGAGAGACACGTACCGTAACACGTACCCGGCCGAATGTCCAGTCGATCGCCGATTCATTCGGTTATACAATCAGCGAACTTTCGCCAGGGACGCCGATGAAATTCACCGGCAAGGTTCTCTGGAAACGTTCGATCGATCGGACAAGCTCTCCGAGCACAGATTTTTATCCGGGGATTTCAAAAGATTATACAGATCGCGGCGGCCTGTTTAATCGCGCGTACCTTAGATGTGCAAGATGGCGGCGCGTCGATATTATTTGGCAAATTCGATCGATAAGCCTGGCCCCGCTGATAAAGAGCATTTTCGGCAATGCATTTCGGTGTTCAAATACGAGGCCGAGATAATTTCGTTTGCTCGCCGTCGCGTGATACATTTGTGAACCGTGCAATTATTTGGCCACGCGCGGCGATCAATATTTGTCATAACGCGAATACAATTTTGAAACGCGCGGAAATAACAGCGGCAACAAGTTACGGCGAATTTTTTAGTCTTCTGGATAAATAGTTAGCGGTCCTGTGCTATTTTCCGTTGCTGTATCGACGTTCGATTTTCAGCCGCACGGCGGAGAATAAGTTTGGAAACGGGATCTATAATTGATTAAAAGTCGTCGTTGCATTAAAGATTCGTTGGGAGGCAGGTCGATGACAGAAATATATTTTCTCGGCGAGAAAAGAAAAAGGCAGGAACGAGACGGGACTTTCCGATGAGTCCTAAGATTTTCGTGGAAGTCGTTTCAGCGCTGGACGGCGGCGCCAGCCAAGTGAAAAATAATTCTATTACCGAGCGTTAACGACGATTGGACGATGAGGTGGAGGAAAAAAACCGTTGAAAGCACAAAGAGACCTCGTACGGTTCTGCGAAGCACTATACAGAGACGGGCGGAATTTAATTCTGCTAGAGGATAAAAAGGAATGGCCTGTAGAGATTCGTAATTTTTAATCACGGTTTAACATAACTATCGTTCGATTTTATTACTAGAATTCTGGTCTCGCAAGTCGTTTCAAGTGCAGGGTGATCCACTTTTAAATCAATGAACTTGACATTTTGGTGCAGCTATTCCTATCGCGATATAGGCTCGGTGACTAATGATCTAGTATTAGCATTAATTAGAGTACGCGCGATCCGAACTATGTACATTTCATTCAGAGAATAATCGGCGAATTTATTTCATTATAATCTATCGAATTTAACCGCTCGGCCCATTGACGATCACCGCCAGTTGCATACTAGGTGTCGCGATACATTCTTCTGTTAAAATTTAATTCAAGAAATTCCTTTATTTTCGGTTCGTCCGGTCTGCAAAACCCGTAACTTCGCCGCATCCAGTAACAATTATATTACAAATCTATATTACTAAAACGCGTGCCGTTCGATTGACTAATACTTATTAAACAGTTATAAATTATATGACAAACTGAATCTCCGAATTCTCATTAGTCCTTCGCAGAACGAGTCGATACGATAGCCAAGTTTCGCTTCCGGCCCTCCGAATCCCGAGACCCGCAAATTCCCACAAACATCCCCATCTAGAGACAACTACCCAGTGGAAGTAGCACGCGCCGCCGACGGCACTCCACCGCCTGGCATGGCCAATTATCACCGTCGATATTTCCGAATGATCGATCTAGAAAAGAAACCTCTGGACTCGAGCCTTCGCTAATGTCAGGGACAATTGACTCGATAAAAACCAGCGGGGAAAAGAAGTGCTGGTCGGTCTACGGCAGACCGAGCGGTGCATAAATGCTATAGACGGTGTGTGTAAGACCGTTGCCATCTCTGGTAGCCCGGGACGGTACGGGTGACACCCATCAGCTGTCAGATCGCGGACTGGATTAACTCCGCGTAGGGACCGTCGTGGGCCGAGGAGCATGTGTACGGTTGATCGCGTGACAGGCGAGTTTCTAACGGACGTTTGCGTGGCGCGGGCATGCGGAAGCGAAACGAAAATCCGATCGTCCGGAATCGATCGATCACGCCTATTCCTCTCGGTCTTGTCTGCCCGCGGTGGGTTGACTGGAGAGAGCGAGGGAGAGATAGAGATAGAGAGAGAGAGAGAGAGAGAGAGGAAGAGAGGAGGATGCGAGGAGGAGAGAGAAAGAGAGACAGAGACGCCTGTGGTCTCTGTGGGAGCGTCTGGTGTCGCGGCTCGCGATTTTCTAGGTTATGTTCGTGACACTTGGGGACGCGGAGCGACGGGCCGACGGTACGCGTGAAACTGTACTCACTGTCCTCGTCCGCGGACTGGTCGGGCCTGAGATGGTCCTCCGCGGCCAGAGTCGGGCCCGTGAAGCTCGTCTCGACCACCTCGATCACGTCCACATTGTCGCCCGAAGCCATTTTGTACGCGCGTGTTCTCGTCCTTCGATCCACCGAGAGCGCACTGACTCACGTACGGCCGCGAGGACGATCTTCTTGACAGTTTCGCGAACGCGCCTCCTCTGTCGTTGCCTCGCACGCCAGCATCTTTCGCGAGAGTCCGGTGTGCACGAACACGCCGAGGCAGAGCTCAGACCGACGCGTACGCGACGCGCAGTCTCTCGCCGTGCATTATTCTATTTCTCTTCGGTTACGGACACACCACCAACCGTTCTCTGGCCACACACCGTTCCTACGAAACCACCGTGCTCGCGACGGACACTCGCCGAAAAATCGCAACGATACGCGCGCGGCCCTAAAGCCTCTCCAGCTCCGGGCTGAGAACACCCACGAACCTCGAGAGCGCCTCCGGCCTCCCTGCTATTCGCCTATTGACCGGACGCCATCTTCCACGGAACACGGCGACATCTAGCGACGGAGTGACGTACTTACCGACCCGCCGGCGGCTGCGCTTCGCTCGATGACCTCGCCGCCTCGGTTCGCTCTGCTTTTTTAAACACATTTTCATTTTTATTAGCCCCTTGCCCCGGTTCACAACATCCAACGGAATATACAGATTCACGTACGATCGAATTTCACTTGTTCGTTGTAAGAAATTTAATGTGGACCCTTCGAGATTACGGTAACTGACGCTCAGATTGTCCACTAAAATGGATAATTTGGGAAGAGGAGATACGATTAGTCGAGCCTTGCGGCTCGTTTTTATAATTGTGAACAATTCGTTACTATAAAAACAAACCATAAAGCTCGAATAATCGCGTCTCCGCTTCCCAAATTGTCCATTTTCGTGCGCAATCTCAGCGTCAATAAGGGAGACATTACTGTAGATCGACGTTTTAAGATTCCTGGAATTTTTATACTATTTCAAATTGGAACCACCCAATTTCGCCATATAAATGCATAAAACCCGCAGTCTACGCGAAAAAAACTTAGCAGTGCCAGTCAAACGATCCTCTTCGCATATCTTATTTAACAATTATCGAAATTGCGAGGGCGTTTCTAAGTTCGTTTCTTCTTTAATCGTTTCAACGGATTAAAAAGAATACAGTAATGTCTCCCTTACTGACGCTCAGATTGTGCACAAAAATTGACAATTTGGGAAGAGGAGACACGATTATTCGAGCCTTGCAACTCGCCTTTTTAATCGTTGACAATTCGTTACTACAAAAATAAACCGCAAGGCTCGAATAATCGTATCTCCTCTTCCCTAATTGTCCATTTTTGTGGTCAATCTGGGCGTCAATTAGAGAAACATTACTGTATTTTTGAACAGAGTTTACGAAATGTGCGAAGATTATTCGTTTCTTCTAAATTGTAGAAATGCAGGTTTTATTAGTTGTACCGAATCGTTGAAGTAAATGGAAGCATGCTGTAAGCGTGAACTTGGACAAGGTGTTGAAACGGTCCTGATATTGTGTCCAATGACGGCACCACCTTGGTTCGCCGGTGGCAACAGGGAGTCGCACTTATAGGACAAGTGCGCCGGCGGCAGACGAAACCGTTTTTATAGTTACTTGCTGGAGCAACCAAAATGCTCAATTTTGATGCTCTTATTTCTGTGCTTCTTGTGGACATTCTTATATTGAAAATGCATGACTCGTATTCATACAATGTTCACGAGAATAGGCTGTTGTAGAAGGACAGAAACATAGACCGACTTTCTCTGATCATTGTAAAATAACCGGACACAAGGTCGCCATGAATTTTGGCAGTTCGACGCTATCAACAATTTGTTTACTTTTGTTTCAAGGAATGTTTCAATCAAGTCATTAACAGCTGTATTAATTGGCGATACAGTTGCAACTGTACAAAGTTGCAAAAACTTTGTAGTTCTCTTAGCAAAAAGAAATTTCATTAACATTTTCTTCAAGCGTGTGCTCGATTTTCTGTACTTCAGTTTCAAGTTTTTAAACCGGGCATTGAACCTAAACTTTTCCAACGACGAGAAAACATATTAGCGTGCCACACAACTTTCAAATCAACGCTAGCTGAATAAACTAAATATTTTTCTAGAATGCAGGACCGAAAAAGAAAAGAAACGAGGCGATTATTTAACGATCAACGTTGCAGTTCTAGGAAGCTTTTACCAACAGTAGATACAGTAGCTGATTTCACGCCGCCGGAAGACACGAGCGTGTCTCGATGACCGCATCCGGCCTGAAATAGAGATTGTCTCACGATAGCGAAAACAAAACTAATATAGAAAAGCAATGATGAAACGCGCCGTTACGTAAGCCCGAAGACGAGATTTATCAATGAACGAACGGGATTGGTATTAATTGAACACCGATATAAAGAAAGTCGAGTCGCGCGACGGGTCGCCGACGACGATACGCAATCTCGCGAACTGCATCATGCGAACGCGACATAGAAAATCGCACTGTGTTAAGTTCGAACGAGATTGTTTTATCGTCTGGAAAGCCAAGTTTTACGTCCGCCGCGAAAGTGGCGGATTTATTTTCTTCTCGATTATCCACTGGATCGTAAAAAGCCGTCGATCCCTAATGGGATCGAGAGCGTATAATTCCAATAAAACGCGCGCCTTCGCTGCATTGAACGTAGCCGTCAACAATATCCTCCATGAAGTTGTTCGCGGCGCCCATTCGGTTGAGCCGCGGATCCAGAAAATGTCGGCAGCAATCAGCATTAGCTTTTAATTGAACCGGCCGAAGATATATTCGGAAGTTGTCTCTGGCGGGGTCCCTTTAAAATGCGCTTACGCGCGTCCAAGAAATTGTAAAGCATTCTATCGTCGACCATGGTCAAGTTCAAATGGCTGAAAAGCAAAATCGCAGTGCAGAGGATGGTCCTGTTTACCCTGATTGGCGCGATGTCCTACGGAATCTACAGGGGCCACCGGAACTATGAAAAAGAGGTTAATATTTCGTCTGTCGTCGGTCGTTAACCCTTTCAATACGAGCGCTGGATATATCCGGCATCCATCTAATGACCAATATGGACGAGTGCCGAATACATCTGGCATCCATGTAAGCCATATTTCTGTAGGCCCTTTACAGAATGTTTGCAGGAAACATTTAAAGAAAGATTTAGAAACGGATTAAGCACAGTCATTACTTAACGCTTAAGAAAATCTTCGTACAAAAGTGGACCGACCCTGCGTTATGTGCGCATTTTCGGCGCGGCACCCCGTGCAGTGGGAGTGTCACGGCGGACAACGCGCTCGTACCGAAAGGGTTAACGGTGTCGCGCGCTATCCGTTAACGGGAGAAATTACGTTTACGACGTAGCGAACATTCGTAGCGCGGACAGTCCCGAATTCCTGAAAAAACGGTCGTTGCAACGCGACAGCTCTATTACGCAGCCGTAAATTACCGTTCGATTTAATTGTCGGCCGGCGCGGCGCGGCGCGGCGGAGCGGCCGGGAATGACTCGGCGACGCTGTCATTAATCCAGCGCGTCGACATCGCTCATTAGGGAGCACATTGATCGTGTAAAATCTTTCACATAAAAGGTCTCGGTTTAATGCGTCCGCGGACCAACGAGATTTATCGCGGACAGCGCGCAATTAATTACCGAGCCGCTCGATCGCGTTTCGCCGCGGCTCCGATACGCGATACGATTTTCCTTCCGTCCGCGGAATCGCCGACGCGTCGGACATCGTCCCGCGATCCAAGATTCCAACGTTTCTCGCGGGGACGATCGATTAATAACAATAACGCGCCGGATATTATCGTGGCGCGTGCAAACTCGCGGCCGACCGTTTAGCATTAATTAGTGGACGTGCTCGCGAAAAGTCGAAGTCGCTTTCCAATGGAGCGAATGTCGCGCGATCCGCTCGTGGAANATGACCAATATGGACGAGTGCCGAATACATCTGGCATCCATGTAAGCCATATTTCTGTAGGCCCTTTACAGAATGTTTGCAGGAAACATTTAAAGAAAGATTTAGAAACGGATTAAGCACAGTCATTACTTAACGCTTAAGAAAATCTTCGTACAAAAGTGGACCGACCCTGCGTTATGTGCGCATTTTCGGCGCGGCACCCCGTGCAGTGGGAGTGTCACGGCGGACAACGCGCTCGTACCGAAAGGGTTAACGGTGTCGCGCGCTATCCGTTAACGGGAGAAATTACGTTTACGACGTAGCGAACATTCGTAGCGCGGACAGTCCCGAATTCCTGAAAAAACGGTCGTTGCAACGCGACAGCTCTATTACGCAGCCGTAAATTACCGTTCGATTTAATTGTCGGCCGGCGCGGCGCGGCGCGGCGGAGCGGCCGGGAATGACTCGGCGACGCTGTCATTAATCCAGCGCGTCGACATCGCTCATTAGGGAGCACATTGATCGTGTAAAATCTTTCACATAAAAGGTCTCGGTTTAATGCGTCCGCGGACCAACGAGATTTATCGCGGACAGCGCGCAATTAATTACCGAGCCGCTCGATCGCGTTTCGCCGCGGCTCCGATACGCGATACGATTTTCCTTCCGTCCGCGGAATCGCCGACGCGTCGGACATCGTCCCGCGATCCAAGATTCCAACGTTTCTCGCGGGGACGATCGATTAATAACAATAACGCGCCGGATATTATCGTGGCGCGTGCAAACTCGCGGCCGACCGTTTAGCATTAATTAGTGGACGTGCTCGCGAAAAGTCGAAGTCGCTTTCCAATGGAGCGAATGTCGCGCGATCCGCTCGTGGAACACGTGCCAGTAACCCAGATTTTTCTACCTGCTTCTCTTTCGGAACAATTCTCGGGCATGGAAACGGTTTACGTCCTTTGTCGGTGCTTCGTGAGTAATCGAAGCACATTTTAGGGACCGCGAGCGTTCGTCGACAAAGGTCCAAGCCCTCGGAGTGGGTGCAAACATGCTCTGGCGATCCGAGATATTAAAGGAACCTTTGATGAATCCTCGACGGAGTCTGCTTCATCCTTTATCCTTTTGTTGTACACGAAATCCAGTAGCCAAGGGAATTCACGACGTACAGGTTTTGTCACTATGAAACTGTGCATGCAAACACTGTAGCAATTAGGGAGCAGCCGGTGCATGCTTAACACCGATAATACTGGGCTAACGATCATTTAATTAGGCAACCATTTAGAACATCGATGAAATCGTTCACGGATCGAAACATATTTTCGTGACACTGGAAACAAAAATCTTTTTATCCGTTTTATATAATATATTGTTGTTTCTTCAATTCCTTTTACGCATCAGTTAGATGTACAGTAGTTAAAAAAGTATTCGGGCTGTTTTTATTTTTTATTTAATTTAACCTGTAATACGGTATAGCTTTTTGCAAAACAGGACTAGATGATCTGAATTGTTTGGAGATGTTTTTAGGGATTCGTTTACTGTTCGATGACTAAAGTATTTTGTTTTTTTATTTCGCTGTTATTTGAAATGATAAGATAAATAAAAATTCACGTTTTTTAAGGTAACCCTTTTATGCGAGCCTATAACGAAAATTTAAGAAATGCGTTTTGTAGATCTCGGTAATTTATGTTTATACTAAAAATGTTCACACACACATATATGTTATATATAATTATATTATATTAATATTAATTAATTATATTATATTACATATAATATATGTAATAAATTATATATATATATATAATTATGTATTATATAATTATTATATTACTATTATAAGTCCTTCCGTATAAGTGAATTTTAAATTTTGGTTATAGGCTCGAATAAAAAAGTTTGGAAGACATGAATTTAAATATATTTTGTCATCCTAAGTAACAGCAAAATTTAAGGAAAGTGTTTTAGGTCATTGTACGGTAGTCGCTCCAATATCTCCAAAAGATTCAAGTCATTTGGTCCAGTATAAAAAACCATTGTACCGTTCTAAAAGGTGTCGGGATATTCTTTTTTTTGTACCCGCCGTATTTACGTACGTCATCTCGAGCGATCGAAACCGTGCTAATTTTCTTGGCACTCGTTCGGATCAGGAGGATGCGAAGATGTTACTCGAACGATTCGCGGAACTACAATTTCGCCGTGAAATAAATCATCGAAGGCAGCGAAAGAGGGGCCGATATGTCAACCAACGGACAGCGACGCGACTCGATTAATTTTCACCGGTCGCGGAAGCGCTCGCGAGTGTCCACCGCTATCCCGATATCCATCTTATCGTCTCCCTTCTTTTTTCATCTTAGCCGACATCCCCGGGGGAGAAAAACCGATTATCCCGCCGCGATTCTGCCTGTATTAATCGTCCTTTACCGCTACGAATCCCGCTAGCCTCGACACGCCGGAAAAATCGACAAACGTCAGATCGGTATCGGACGCATCGAACAGCAGAAATCATTTCTTACGGGGGAACGGTTAAATAGTGGATGATTCCGATGAATCCTACACTGATCTAACAGTGGAAACCACAAGCGTTAGCTATTAGGCGGATTCCGGCGAGGTCTTTTATTATCGCACGCCAGAGCTTCTCCATTTCCGCGAAAACCAAATGTTTGAACTGCATAGCCCAAGTTGCACCAGAAACTGTTATCGAATAATGTTTACTTGAGACACGTGTACGCTTAATTCACGCTTTGATTACGATTCGTTCACAGCTTTATGAAAAACTCAAATTTATAGCAAATTTATAGAAAGCATCTCAATTAAATTATATATTATTGTATAATAATATGTAATAATACATATTATTGTTTAATAATATGTAATAATACACATTATTGATTAATAATATGTAGTAATACATATTATTGATTAATAATATTTAGTAATACATATTATTGATTAATAATATTTAGTAATACATATTATTGATTAATAATATGTGTTATTACATATTATGTAATACTGTCGGTCCCACTGCCTGTGTATAATTATTATATGTAATAAATAAATAATATAATAATTATACACAGGCAGTGGAACAGACAGTATTACATAATATGTAATAATACATATTATTGTTCAATAATATTTAATACTACATGTCATTGTTTAATATGTAATAATACGTATTATTGTTTAATAATATGTAATAAATAAATAATATAATAATTATACACAGTCACTGGATGTACAATGGATCGTGTTGAGCCTGAATTGCAAATTAGAAAATCCTCTGCGATTTCTTCTAAAAAAGGAGTAAAATTAGAGACAAATTTGCGACGCAGCGTTTATTACGCAGGCATTGAGGAATGTTTGTGCATTTTATTTTTCATCATTTTTGTAAAACGGTTCTTTGGCGCAACCTCAATTTCAACGGCCGGTCATGGTAGACCACATCCAGACCATTAGGTCGACCATTAGAGCCGATCATTAGGGCGGTTATGTTCCTTATTTTATAGTTTCCATAGTTAACTCTTGCAATTTGATGAATGTACACATTTATGTTTATAGAAAACATAAATTAATGTAACAGCGTCTTAAAAATCTGGGGAACGCAGAAAATTGTTAAAGGAAATGTGATGAATCACGTGGCGATTAACTCTGTTACGATACTCTACGGTTAGACCGCGGATTTTATGCATCCATGTGAAAAATGGGACATGCAGAACAGTAGAAAGATTGATTAAGCGCGAGCTTATTAGCACTGGAGCCATCAATCTAGTCAAAATGACTGGCTTCTGTGTTTCTCTTTTATACTTCCTGATATTTTAAAGATGTTCCTGGACGAAATGTTCAGATAATTTTTTTTATTCGCGAGCATATATTACAATAGAAATTATATAAAGTTTAAATAAATCCAATTTTGCCATTATTATAAAACAGTATATAGAAATCGTGTTTAAGGCTCGGTAGATTTTGCTGAACTATAGTAAATTCTCCCTAATTGACGCTCAGATTGCACGCAAAAATGGAGAATTTGTGAAGAGGAGATACGATTATTCGAGCCTTGCAGCTCATTCTTATAGTTCTTGACAATCGGTAACTATAAAAACGAGCCGCAAGGCTCGAATAATCGTATCTCCTCTTTACAAATTCTCCATTCTTGTACACAATCTGAGCGTAAGCATAGAGTAAGCAATCCGAACGTTGGCATAACCCATTTTCTTTTAAATGTACACACACACAGCTACAATTCCTAGGAACAAAATATTCTCACTGTAGCACTTTATAAATATAATTATTATATTAACTTTTTACATTATAATCTTTATTTTAGACAATAAATTTTTAAATTTAAAATTACTAAAAAATAATAATAATCATCAAGAATTGCACTGTATAGATTAAGCCGCCTTGCGGCTCATTCTTATAGTTGTTGACAATCGGTAACTATAAAAACGAGCCGCAAGGCTCGAATAATCGTATCTCCTCTTCCCAAATCGTTCATTTTTGTGTGCAGTCTGAGCGTCAATTAGGGAGAATTTACTGTATTACCTGAACTGCTGCCGAGCGTTGTCCCAATTATGCGAACACCTAGATGAAGTGTCCGGTTAAGTCGATTTATCTGAACGCGTGCTCCGTATATTTGAACGAAAGGGACAAGCAGCGTGGATGATCAGCGGCCTCCTATTATGCGAACCTACCTGGCTCTATGAACGGGTTGTCTCCCGCCGAGTTCGTTCCAGTGTTCTATCGTAACAGCAAATATGTCACTCCTGTATCTTTCGTACACCTCGATTTCTCAGTGTCAAGCCACGATCGTAAAACGATCCCATTAAATTTTTAACGGAGCTTCCGGAAAGAAGAGCCCACCGTGCCGGTTCATAAACTCCGAAAAATAAACGAGGGTGTCCATAGGTTAAGTGTAGGTATTACTGCGTTTTCTCTCAATGAAGGCGAATTTTGACAGAGAAAATAAAACCTTTCACGCCCCAATAAATTTAAAACTTGAGCTGTATCTATTATTCTTTAACTTGAATATTTACCTTTCTCAAAATATTGGATCTGCGAAAGCACGAATTTCATTGGAAAACGTAATGTAAAGAAACCATATGTGTGTGCGTATGTATATTACTGCGGTTATGTATTTATTACTGCGAGCCAAATACCGCGAAGGTTCCGATTACTGCGCGTCAAGGTTAGCATGAATCATTTTCTTTTAAATGTACAATTCCTAGGATCAAAATATTCTCACTGTAGCAATTTACAAATATAATTATTATATTAACCCTTTGCACTCGAAGCCATTTTAACTGTAAATTTAAAATAATTTCTCGGACTCGCAGTATTTCCATTTTATGCGACGAAATGCATTTTTATGCGCATGAAATTGAGTCTTCCGGTGACTCGTGCAATAGTTACGCTTTCAACAATGTTTTCAATCTGAACTTTCTTAATATAAAAACGATCTTGGAACACGGTATAACAATTTCAGCGGTGCCTCGGAGTCACCACTCGGGTGCAAATGGTTAACTCTTTACATTATAATTTTTATTTTAAACAATAAATTTTTTTAAATTTGATATTACTACAAAATAATAATAAAAATATAGATCATCAAGAATTGTACTGTATAGGTTAAGGTCCGCAGTCCAGTAAAGCGCCGCAGTAATGTACACACAGTAAAAAACAATGCGCCAAATACTGTGTTAGAAAATAAATGATTATATCAATGATTACTTTATCTAAAAAAAAATAACGTTAAAATAAATAGTACACTATTAATGACCATTACGAGTATTTTATAAGACTCAACGCTTTCATAGGCTTCCGAATATCAAAAGTCGATAAATGAATTAAAACTGTGATTGCTGTTACTTCTATGCCACAAATCAACAATATTAAACATATAAAAAATGATGAGATTCATTTTTATAAGATCTCACGCTATAAAATGTTATAGATTTCAATACTGTCATAAAATACCACAGTATTTGGGGCGTCCGCAGTAATGCCCACACTCGAACAGGGTTGAGAAAAGAGTCGGCGGATGCTCGGCCGGTCACAGAGCGGCGTCGTCGTCGAGGTTCGACCGGCGAGTGTGTGCGATGGTAAAAGGATTTTAGAAAGGTAAAGGGGACCAGGGAGTCGTTTGAACGGTCTGGAAACAGGTCGTTTGATACGCAACGACGACCCCGGGCGTGTTTAGAACAGGAAACTTTAATTACTCCGGCGAAACGAGCCCCGCGTTCTCGCGATACGGCAACCGCCTGACCTTGTAACTATTTTCTCGCCGAAGGTGTCCGAGTACATGAACTCGCTGGAGTATCGCCGTCAGAGGGAGTCCGGCCAGGACTACCACGTGCAGAAGATGAAGACCAATCAGCGATTCTTGTTGTCGGACGATCCGCCGCCACCCGCGACGGAACCGAAAAATTGACGGAAAAACTTTTCGATGCTTCGACGATGTTTACGACGTGCCGCTGCTGTCGAACGAATTCCCTGTATACGTGTTCCCGGGGAAAGCATCTCTCCGACGATTTATTCGGCAGCCGTTCGAACGGAGACGCGGTGTCGTGACCTTCGCGGAGGCTGCTAGTATCGAACAGTTCTGCTGGTATTGTACCGTTGTCGGTGTAGCAATTACGGCGCGAAGGTGAGCTTCATTAGGGGCTTATCAGATTTTCGGCGCGTGGAGAACCGATCATCGGAGAGATTCGAAGAGACCGGCGCAAGTGCGTCATCCCTTCTGTGCACCCGTAAACGCTGTAAACATAAACCGTTCGCATTGTGGAATATGTACAAGGTGACGGTGACGCAAACGTTGCCGAATAAAAACATCGCATAACTTCTGAACTGCTGTGTCTGTGCGCCTCTGTTTTGTAGGTCAGATCTCGGCGTCTTCGATCGCAATATTCGCAGTCGGGCCGCGGATTTTTGCGTAGCACGCGCTCCAACGTGAATTCCGTTTTATTTTGCCGAAGAAGAAAGGAGAGAAAATGTTCCTTTGATTTTGTCGAATCCGCTGTTCTATCTCTCTGGAAATATACATATATATATATTTTACTATAACTATATTATATATATTTTAATAAAATAATATAGTTATAATAAAATATATATGTAATATATATTTATTATATAATACTATATTATTTTATTAAAATATATATATAATAAAATATATATGTAATATAGTAATATTACTATACTATATATTATATTATATATAATATATTAATAATATATTAATATTATAATAATGTTATTATTTAAATTTAAATTATTTAATAATATTATTATTATAATATTAAATAAGTAATATTATAGTAATATTACTATATAATATAATACATAATATAGTAATATTACTATATTACTACATTATTATTTAATTATAAAATTCATTCTTCCGTCTCCCGGAAAATTCAACACGTACGATTTATAAAATTCGTTCTTCCATTTTTCTGATTTTATAAAAATTGGAGTTCGCATCAAGATCCGCAGCCCAATTGTAATTTTCCATATCAGTTTGTAAAGAATGTGCGGACTGATTTGAAAGCAGCATATTTTTAAAACTGCCAACAACATCGCTTAAAAGTGAAAATATTCCTTCACAAACTTCCAGCTCTATTGTATATTACTTTTACCAGATAAATGGCAGACGTAACTTCTTCCGAACGAGGTGGAATGTTGTGTACACACAACACTGTCAATACTCTTATCTTCATTTATGTACATACGTAGATTATCTGTATAATTACTTAGGTGTTTCATAACACGTGTGACACGCATCGGAAGTGGTTAAGAGACGGAAAAATAACAAAAAACCCATTTGCAAGACGCAGTTCGTATTCCCGGTTGTGCTTCGATAATTTTTAATAGCTGCACTTTGCATCGTTATTAGTGAAACATTGACTTTTAGCGATCGATTCTATTGTTTACTCAATTATTTAACTGCGGTCATTCATCGAGAAGATATTCCAAGCGATGTAATAGTAACTTCCTTTTCCCGACTGCTGCTTAAAAGAAAAGTGATTACGATTCTTCTTATCGCGTCATACTGATATCTCAATTGCATATGATATCAATTGCATATATTATCCACATTTATTTTCAGTTAATTTTTCTCACGTCACATCAATATTAGTGGGTAAAAGCATCAAAACTGCGTTCTAATTCTACAAATTGCTTCAGATGCATATTTTTTAACAAATTAAGACAATAAATTACATTTACGCGTGTCTTATACAAGACTGTTTATCCTCGTAAAGTGCATTCGGTCGTACCAATCGCAACGAAAAAAATGCATACTATAAAGAAATCACAAAATCCTGTAAAATAGTGCAACATAAAACGAGATCGATCGTAAATAAAAAATAATTCTTACAATGTTAAACTTCTCGAAACATATTATTAAACAAAAGAGATATAAAAAACGTAGTAATAAAAATTTTTTAAAATATTTTCAACTGAATTTTATAAGGCGTTCGAATACTTATTCCGCGTGAAAATTCGATGTTCCTTTATATATTTTTTTAATTATGTGGATAACGTTTCACACTGAATCGAAAGTTTTTCGTATGACATTTATACGATCCGCTTCAATATACCGTAAAAGATTGTTTCCCCTCGAATGTATGTTTATTTAAATACATGACGTGGAAGTCAAAGTTACACTCTCGTGACTCACTGTACCTATTAGCAATTAAAATGTCGATTACATGTTGTACAATACGTAGTGGAAAACACATAAACCGGCTGTAATTTCGTTGCGTCTAATTGGCGGCGTTATGGATGATTCAGCGGCTAACGGGATGATGCAACAGCGGCGAATAATGAAGTAGAATTTCGGGCGGTAAGTGGCGTCGGAATCCTCCTCGCGTCGGGACTGACGAGGAGACAATGGCCGTCGCGGCGGTTTTGTAGGATCTCGGATAATTTTCAACGGCTATCTGGTCGGGGGTATCGTGAACGTAAGGTCAGGGTGGACATGATATTTCCTGTATCGGGCGCGCAACAAAGGAACAAAGCAGCGGCCAAAGTACGCGATGCGTGTAACTAGCCACTTCGGTTAAAAAGAAATGACTGGCGCTCGTTCGATCGTCAACACGATCCCAACGACCCGTTAACACTTTGACTGCCGTGTCAGTCGTGCACGGTTCACGTAATCTTTTTTTAACTATATGTACACTCGCACACGAAAGTATCCGAACGCTTACGTTTCTAACATTCAATTAATAACATATATGTGTTAAACTGAAGCATTTGATATAATACGACACATATAACAAAGGATGGGTCTTAAGACTGCGTAAGCAAAATTAGAAAATAATTCAACAATATATATGTACATAGTTATACAGGGTGTTCCAAAAATGTCTCGCAATCCGGAAATGGCTTTACAAAAATTTTCTCCGAGGCACCGTTAACGAGTTATTAACGAAAAACAATGACCAATAAGTACGGCCGACGCGAGGCGGCCCAGCCAACCAGCACACGAAGCCCAGTTCCGCTCATTGGCTCGGCTGGCGCGAGGCGGCTCGACCGCTGGCGCCGTTGGCTCGGCCGTCTCGCGCCAGCTGAGCTGGGATTCGACCGCTCGACCGCTGGCGCCGTTGGCTCGGCCACCTCGCGGCAGCTGATCTCGCCTCTCATTGATCACTGTTTTTCGTTAATAACTCGTTAACGGTGCCTCGGAGAAAAATTTTGTAAAGGAAAATGTTGCTTCAAATAATCTGAGGAACCCGCCACTTTCGGATTGCGAGATATTTTTGGGACACCCTGTATATATATATACAGGATGTCCCAAAAATATATATATATATGTACGTAGTTTTATCGCCGGAATAGAATGAAAAGCAATAACGAGAAGCAGTAGCCATCGTCGTAGCAGTAAGCGTCGTTATTTCTCAATTAGCCTTAATGAATCGATGAGTCATATCGTCTTTCTTAAATTCTTTTCATTTTTTCTACCGTTCTAGCATCAAATCGTTTCTGCGACAATTATTTAGCGATGCATTCTAAGTGAAGCAAAAGCTTTTAGAAGCTTTTCTAGAAGATGCAAAAGTTTTACGAGACAACCGGTTCTAACGTCGGTGCAAATTTAATCGACGCGTTGATTGTTCTGTCGACGCACCGATGCACCGATGACGTCTCGAAGTATTTTAATCGTTAATCCGCGCCAACTTGAGCAACCAGCAATTGTTGATTGGTGCCGAGATATGCATACCGTTACCGCCGTAGACGTCAACGAATACTTATCTGGACTGACGCGCGCAGTTGCGCTGCTTTTTTATTGTCCGCTGATACGTGCTACGATTTATGATATCGTATCACCGATTTCCGAGAGACGCGTCGGTCGAGGAGTCTCGATAAATGGCTCGGAGAAGGACGTTTAAGAATAATAACAGTCGTCCACGTTTCGGAGAAAGTGACGATCCGTTCCGACGAAGTGAATCGTTTCCCTTGATTACAATTCCTGAATGAACTTGCAAATTGCAGCGACTGAACTATTCAATGTTTATCTTTAACGCATTCTGTACCGCGAAATCCGCGTTGCCTCGCAACTTCGAAAGAAGAGCGAGATGCATCGGTCCGCTCTAAAAACAGTAAGCATAAAAACAAGGACTAAGGTGGCTCCGATAATCCTCGCAACATTGAATCGATCAATTATGATGCCTCTGGCGCTGCGTCAAATTTTTTCAAAGAGATCAAAATAGTTACGTTACGTGAATTATAAAAGTCGGCAGGTTACAACTCTTACGAAAAAAATTCGGACGATTTGCTCTCATGGAAACGTGACAATGTTGCTGTTTCAAGGGGGATAAGTATAACTGCATCGTAAACTAATCGATCAATTGAGGATCAAGTGTTTAACACTTGTCGCGATAAAGCGATCGAGTTACAAATTCCAACGTAAAGATAGCATAAGTGCAACAGCAGTCGACTAATCGGAAACGAAGGCGCCGGATACCCGTTGGGAAACGCGGAACGGAAACTATTGAAACGACGAGAAAGAGAGAGAGAGCGAGAGACTAGTTTTCGTGAACGGAAAAGCACAATTTGATCGATAAAATCGTGAGCGTGAATCCGCGATGTTGCGGCTCGGCGACAGTCCTGTAACGATGTAACGAGAAAGGATCGCCGGCGGTTGCATAATTTAAGAGCCGGCGAGTTACGCGACAAAACTCGTTTCGTCCACGTGGCCTGTTTTTCTGGCTTTCGAGCGGGCTTTTTATCACCGTCGGATCTCCAAACGATTCGTTGCTGGGTATAGCGCGCTAATTTTATCGTCTCTCATTGGATTCAGCGGTTTTGCTCGTTTCATTCGGCAACGTGATCGTTCAGTGAGAGAAACTTCGGCCGGGAACGGTTTCCGTCCGACAAGCAGCGATCGGACAGCTCGGGAACAAAGTGGGAACGACGTTACACGCGATTTCTGATAACGTAAATCGAGTTCAACTTTCATCAGGACTACGAAAGTCGGATTACACGTGGCGTTATTTATGGACCGCTTCGGGCTATTTCTATGTTTTAAGAAGCGTGTTTGCATAATAGCTGGAACCACAGTGATTTAGGAGCTCGTAAACTTCGGGAACGATAAAAGAAGTTAAGGAACGAGCTGAAATATTATACCACGGAGAACCGCGTAACTGGCAGATACGTGACAACTGTGCAAACTGTGTGTGTCCAGAAGACGTCGAATCGCTCGATGTTGCGTCAGATCGCGATATATAAAAACGAAGACCACGTGTAACGTCGGTTCATCCAACGATCGCGCCGTTTCGACTACCAATGTAACACCGAAAATATTTACCGTGTAACATTATCATTCGACGATATTCTCATCATCCAGTGACATCTTCATCGGCCGTGTGTTCGTAACCGCAAGTGACAATTGCACGATGCCGGGTCTGGTTTGAGCGCGACAATGTAACGGTGATCTATCCGACGCGGAAATCGTGAAATTATCGCCGGTGTTTGCATACGAGATAACGTTGTTTGCCGATGCGTAAGGGGGTCTGGTGCAACAGCAACTCATTACATTGGTACAAATTGACTCGTTTGCGGCCGCAGATAAATGCCACACGCGTTTGGACGTATCAATTGAAGCCGGAGATCCAGACCGAGGGAGGAAGGTTTTTTTTCTGCTGTGCCCTGTACAGCGTCGAATCGGATGGAAGATCGCAGTCGGCCTTAAGATGCCCGTGGACACTGCAATCAGCGTCGTGGACAAGTCCGCGACGGACAATGGAAGCAACGCAAGTACGTCGGCGATTAAACGTTTCTCAAATAAAGCTGTCCTTCCGCTGCGAAAGTTTGATCAGCACCCACGCGTCCTCGAGAAATAATTGCTCGAAAGATCATCGATTCGTGCCGGCGCCAATTTCATCCTGTGTTTTGATTCCGCTAGTTTTTCGATCGGCCAGCAGTGCACAGAAAATTTCTCCGGAGTCGCAGGAGGCTCGAGGATGCTGTTGCCGACGTAACAACCGCTTCATTTGTAACAGAACGCATTGTGTTGTCCAGATGGAGAAGTTCCGAGGAAAGAGCACGCGGACTTCGAAACCGCAATCGCCGCAGCCGGCTGCGGGAAGTTTCAGTATCTGCTGTTTCTGAGCATCATACCCGTGACCTGGGCGACCAGCATCGACACCTCGAACATCGCGATCGTCCTGCCGTCGGCGGAATGCGACCTGGGAATTACGCTCTTTCAAAAAGGACTTTTGAACGCCGTCACGTTCGTGGGTGGGTTTCGTCGACCGGGCAAACGTTCGGCGCGGAAGTGATATTTTCATTGTCAACAGGAATGGTGTCGAGCGGCTTCATATGGGGCTACATAGCTGACGTCCGAGGCAGAAGGACCGTCTTTATTTACGGTTACCTGGCGGACGGTATTTGCAACGTTCTGTCCGGATTTTCGCAGGACTTCTGGACGCTTGTGTTCTTCAAGCTATTGAGTGGATTTATGTGAGTTGGAAAGAGCTCGAGCTTCGAATTGCGACTGATCAGCAACTACAAGTCGAATTTTCTACCGCAGAATAAGCGGCCCCCATGCTTCCACGGTGTCATACTGTTCCGAGTTCTACGGGATCAAGGGGAGAACGAGGATCCCGTTGATCATTGGCTTCTCCATCACCTTTGGAAACATCGTGACTGCATGTAACTTAAAAGCCGACGAAACGTTGGCATTCAAATTGATCATATTTATTAGTATATAAATTATTCATTTGTGTACACGGTGTTCGGAAAGGTTGGAGTTTCAAAATTTATATGTCGTTTCGAGAAATACGATGAAAACAGAAGATCAATTTTGAGACTGTATTGAAAACGCATATATTATTATCTCCAATACAGATGTGGAATATTTGGAAAAGGTCATCAGACACTAATTCGACAAATATATGTATAATAATAATTGTGCTACGATAAATTATAAATATCTTAAAAATCTTTTTAATAGAGCATGTCCGGGCAGAAGTTTATGTAAACTTTTTTCATCTATACGGCCTCGGTATACAGAAATATATGTCAATACTTGAGAAGCTGAATCTACGCGTTGAAATAAGTAAAAAATAACCCGTGGACAGGTGTCCAACGTACCATACTTTCCGAGTTATAAACGACTAAAGTAGATGTCAAAATATCCACCAGCTGTTTCAATACACGCTCTTACACGTCTCAACGTTGAATTTCGCACTCGCTCTTATTTAACTTATAACTCGAAAAGTAAAGTACATACGACACTTGTCCGTAGAATATATTTTACTTATTTTAATGTGTAAATTCAGCTTCTCAAGTATTAACATATATTTTTGTATACTGACGTCATATATATGAAGAAAGTTTATATAAACTACTACTAAGAAGATTTTAGAGACATTTATGATTTATTGTAGCACAATTATTATTATAAGAAATGTTCGAAAATTCTTGCCACCGCGAGAATGCAGACTTTCGTTCGTAGATACAGCTTCTCAAGTATTGACATGTATGCCTGAGACATCCTGTATATTTTGACACTCTGTATATATACAGGGTGTCTCAGTAACTCTGTTGCAAAGCGATATCTCCATTATTGTTAATGATACGCGGAAATGCTTCAGGAACAAATTGTTTGGTTCGAAGGGACACATATTGTGGTGGAAATCATTCTTTTGTAAAGGTCATATTTTTTGAGATTTCAAGGTCATAGATGTTTTTTCAAATGGGATTACATATTTCTATCATTATATCGTGATAGCTAAGCTCAAGACGAATCTAATAACCTATAATACTATGGTCTTCCTGTGACCTTGGGTACGAAAGATAAAGAGATTTTTAGACTTGGACACGCATAATGAAATAACTAAAACAGAGAGATCAACAATGAAAAATTTATTGTAATAAATGTTCAAAATTATTTCCATCGACTTCAAGACATTTATTAATTCGATTATGAAAACTTTGACAGAGCTCCATACTCCATACCAAAACGTTATACCAAAAACGTGTGGTCCATGTCTAAAAATTTCTTTATTTTTGGTACCCAAGATCATATGAAGGTCATGGTATTATAGGTTATTAGATTCGTCTTGATCTTAGCTATCATGATATAATGATAGAAATATGTAATCCCATTTGAAAAAAACATCGATGACCTTGAAATCTCAAGAAATGTGACCTTTACAAAAAAATGATTTCCACCACAATATGTGTCCCTTCGAACCAAACAATTTGTTCCTGAAGCATTTCCGTGTATCATTAACGATAATGGAGATATCGCTTTGTAACAGAGTTATTGAGACACCCTGTGTATACATACCAATTATTAAATACCAATATACCAATTATTATATACCAATTATTAAATTAATGGAGTAATTTTGTGTCTCAGCGTTAGCATGGTTGGTGGTACCCCAGCCCTGGTCCATAGTTCTGGGCGAAGGCAGCTTCGTCTACAACTCCTGGAGGATGTTTCTGTCTCTCAGCGGCGTCCCGTTGATCCTCGGCGTCATCGGTCTCTCATTTTTCCCGGAAAGTCCGAAGTTCCTGATGTCCCAAGGTCGCAACGCCGAGGCTTTGAAAGTTTTCCAACAGATTTATCGGCTGAACACAGGGAAATCCGCCGCCGAATATCCGGTGGGTTCGAGGCCGACGACGCGGCCAGGAAGCAGCGAAATGATTTTTCTGGAAGCTAACGCAAGCTGTTTTCATTCAAGATTGAAAGTTTAGAGGAGAAGTCGTTAAGGAAGCAGAAGAACGACAACAAGAAGAACGCGATGACAGCAATTTTCTCGTATCCGCACGGCCCTCGGCTTTGTTTGGTCACTTCGATGCAGTTCGCGACGATGCTGGCGTGAGTGTTTCGCTCTCTTACTCATTTTCTCGAACGAGATGAGTCCGCCCACGGATTGACGCTCGAGTGGTTGAAGCGCGAACAAGTGTGTTTATTGTGTTTGCCGGCTTCGGCGAAAAGTTCGCGCTTGATTTCGAGCCTACGGGCTTCGCGATCGCGCGACTCGTCGGCTCGGGAAACTCCGATGAATTCGCGTCGCTCGAAAATCAACGGGATCCTATGGCTCGAAAGCTGATATCGTCAATCGTAAAACGGATCAATCCGCATTCCGCGGGCAGCTCTCCCCGCGTTAACGAGCCTCCATAGAGCTAATTTTACGGCGGCATCCGGATTACATTATAATGCACATTGATCGCCACAATAAGATCGGGAAACGGACGTTCGAGCGTCGACCGCTATTAAAAACGCGATTAACCATTCGCACTGTTTTATCAGCGTGCAGCAGTTGCGTATCAGCTAACCAGTTCCGCCATTAACACGGCACGGTCGTTTTATCAGCGTCTGTCGCCATTCGCGCTGCGACTTCTCGCGTCAGAACCGACGATTACGGATTCAAAATCCATACGCGATCCGGCCAATAAATTGTCACACGATTCCGAGGCACGTCGTCCGACTTTGACTCGCGTTTTACTACTGATTTGCCCGACGGCCTTGCCAGATTCAACACCATTCGACTATGGCAGCCACAATTGTTCGCTATACTGAACAACTTCGATTCGTCGAACCACAATGCCACCACGGAAGGAGATCCATCGTTCTGCGAGATTCTGGATCGCTCGACTGTGCAGAAGGCAGCGGAGGTCGATCAGTTAGCTTGCCAAAACGTAAGAGACTCGACCGGTTTATTTCCGAAGTTTCCTCGCGGAACAAAGCGATAGGTGTTCAACGAGCATTCGCGCGAGATCCGCGAACGTTTGCATTTTTGTGATCGCTTTTCTGTTTACCAGATCGTCAGCGAGTCCATTTATTTGAACACCATTATCATAGCCACCGTGGCGTGCCTTTTCGTCATATCAACCAGCTTCGTCTCGCAATTCTTGAACCACAGGCTTCTGCTCTGTGAGTGTTCGACTGTTTTTAGAATAATCTTGTTCGAGATTGATGTATTTATCGTTACAGTTTTATCGGTTCTGTTGCAGTTATTTCTTACGGCGCCGCTTTATCTTGCATAGTCTATTTCATTTGGTCGACGAACACCGTGATTACCTTGGGATTAACCTGCGTGTTCGTGGGATTGACGAACATTTCGTTGAACATCGTCGTCGCGGCTGCTGTCATCCTCTTCCCGACGTCCTTGAGGTTCGAAGGCTACGAACACCGAATTGTTTTCAAGCGGATGAACAGACCGTGAAAGACGATCTTTTTAACGTTCGGAGTAAAAGAAGCTCGTTGAAGTTCTGTTTCTTATTTTATTGGCAAAATGCTGAATCGTGCGCTTTTTTTGACACTCTTACGGAACGAAATTTCCAAAATTTCTTGTCTCAGCGCTAAACCTACCGGGATCTAAATGCAACTAACAAGTGTCGCGTTACAAGGATTACAGAATAGAGTTTACTTAACATTTTCACGATTCTAATAATATCGTGTGCCTGAATAGATACATAAGTTTAACAATTTCTAATGGAAGCAGCTTTATGACTTCGACAATTATGAGATAAAAAATGTGAAACCGGTCGTTTGAGCGGCGGTGGTAGGTTTAGTGTTGATATTCTCCGAATCTTAAAAAACAAAATAACTTTCCGCACGACAAAATTCTCTCCAATTGTTTCTTAGCTTGTAAACAAATATGGTCAATTTGGCAAGAGGAGATTCGATTATTCGAGCCTCGCGGCATGTATTTGTAGTCGCCGATTAGTATAATTGTATTTCCTCTGCCCAAATTGTCCATTTTTGTATACAAACTGTGGGACAATTGGAGAGAATTTATTGTATACAATAATTTCTCCCGGAAATACCAAATTTCGGGTTGCTGCGAATTTCCCTGTGCTAGTCCTACGCCTATGTAATTTATTGCTACGCCGATGCTAAGGTTTGTCGGAGTCGATCAAGGTGAATCAAGTCAAATCGTAGCACGTGGCCTCCGAATTGTCTTCAAATCGTGGCAAGAAATTAGAGATAAAAAAGTTAAGTTATAGTTTTTATCCTAGAAATGTCAAATTTCGGGTTGCTGCGAATTTCCCTATGCTAGTCCACAAATTGTGGGACAATTGGAGAGAATTTACTGTATACAATAATTTCTCCCGGAAATACCAAATTTCTGGTTGCTGCGAATTTCCCTGTGCTAGTCCTACGCCTATGTAATTTATTGCTACGCCGATGCTAAGGTTTGTCGGAGTCGATCAAGGTGAATCAAGTCAAATCGTAGCACGTGGCAAGAAATTAGAGATAAAAAAGTTAAGTTATAGTTTTTATTCTAGCATTACTATTCAATTTTTATAAAAAAGAGCCACGAGGCTCGAAGAATCGTGTCTTAGCGCGACTTAGTATTCTCGGATCTGCGTGTTTCGATTCCGACTTCAAACATTTCTGGGAGAAATTACGCCTAACAACTGTCACGATTAGAGAAGCAACGAAGTTCGCAGTCTGTTCACCTCGGATCAGTCGCTCGGCCGAAAGAAAATTAATTAGCCGTTTCATTCTAGAACGATGGCAGTGAGCCTGGTGATGACCTCCGGCAGAATCGGCTCGATAATCGGGAACGTGCTGTTCCCGGTGCTCCTAGCATACGGCTGCATAGCTCCGATCCTGACGCTGTCGGGCTTTCTGCTAAGTAAACAATCTCGACTACATTGCCCCGCGAACAAAAGCGCGCGGCGTAAACATCGTAACTCATCATCTCGATTCCAGGTTGCATCGCGCTGACTTGCCTGCTGCCTCGGTCCCGGAAAACCGACGAATAACGCGAGGAATCCTCGTTCCGACTCGACCTCGGCCGGAGTTCCCGCCAGTAATTCTCCGTCGAAGGCACCGCGGCGGTCTTTCATCGTGGAACTGGGCCAACCGTGCGCGGATCCCGAACCCTCGGTTTGCGTCAGAATATCGAGTCGTTCGGCGGAAAAGTTAGCAAGTGGAGTGCAGGTACTCTGATCGATAGTATCCTGTCCGGATATCATCGCGGTCCGTCTCGTTTTTGACTCGGCCGCCGGAATCTCGGCCGGCGATCGTTCGCGCGGCTTCCGCGCGGGCCCCGCGTTTCAAAATCGGCGCGCGTAAAAGCGAGTGGAAAAGTGGAAAGACGAAAACGGAGAAGGTTGCGGAGGAGTGCCAGTGGACTACGAGTCCGGGTCATCGAAGCGAGAACCACCATGGGGGAACGACGGTTGCACAATCGGCCGGCTGGAGGTTCCGTTGGGGGTCAGATTTTTCAGCCGCGGCCGCGGCCGCGGCGCAGATCGATACCGATCCGAAACGATGATCGAGCGCGTCGAGGACGATCGCCGAGCCGCGGCGACTCCTTAAGCGCGTCCGCACGCGGCGAGGCCTTGGGTTTCACTTTCGACACATCCTGGAGAGCCCTCCAGCCTTCACCCACATGCTCGTTCGTCTCGATCCCGTATACACACCTCGGGGTTCGGCTTTCTTGTGGACGCTGTGCCATGCTGCCGCCACCGCCGCCGTCATGCCGCTATCTCGCGCCCGGGATCTCGACAATCTCGACACGTACGCGGCCACGACCGCGCTCCTTCGCGGCGGTAAAACGGCAACGCGTCGCGCTGATCGAGTAATTACGCGTGTCCATAAAAACCGAGCGTGTACCTATTATATACTCGCCGGACGGTCGACAATAGGAGAAAGTCAAGGCGCCGATCGCGACCGGCCGCGTTCCTTCACGGTACACGTTCGATCGTCCCGGGCTGCTTCTTCCTCGTCCAATATCTAACTGGCTGATCACGTTGCCCGTTTCTTGCTGTCGCCTTGTACCGATCGCTTTAATCCTTCGAGGACGAATCTCGACGTATCGACGATAACATCTGCAGTTTAACGCCAGATTTACGGAGCATTAAGCAGCTGTTTTATATTGGTTTGTAATAGTATAAGACATTTATTCGGATTTTGAACGTGTGTTGTTGCTAGATTGTGGGTCTTTAAGCAAATTTTGATTTACATACGTCATTTTGGAAAATATTAGCCCGTTTCTTGCTGTCGCCTTGTACCGATCATTTTAATCCTTCGAGGACGAATCTCGACGTATCGACGATAACATCTGCAGTTTAACNAAAACGTAAGAGACTCGACCGGTTTATTTCCGAAGTTTCCTCGCGGAACAAAGCGATAGGTGTTCAACGAGCATTCGCGCGAGATCCGCGAACGTTTGCATTTTTGTGATCGCTTTTCTGTTTACCAGATCGTCAGCGAGTCCATTTATTTGAACACCATTATCATAGCCACCGTGGCGTGCCTTTTCGTCATATCAACCAGCTTCGTCTCGCAATTCTTGAACCACAGGCTTCTGCTCTGTGAGTGTTCGACTGTTTTTAGAATAATCTTGTTCGAGATTGATGTATTTATCGTTACAGTTTTATCGGTTCTGTTGCAGTTATTTCTTACGGCGCCGCTTTATCTTGCATAGTCTATTTCATTTGGTCGACGAACACCGTGATTACCTTGGGATTAACCTGCGTGTTCGTGGGATTGACGAACATTTCGTTGAACATCGTCGTCGCGGCTGCTGTCATCCTCTTCCCGACGTCCTTGAGGTTCGAAGGCTACGAACACCGAATTGTTTTCAAGCGGATGAACAGACCGTGAAAGACGATCTTTTTAACGTTCGGAGTAAAAGAAGCTCGTTGAAGTTCTGTTTCTTATTTTATTGGCAAAATGCTGAATCGTGCGCTTTTTTTGACACTCTTACGGAACGAAATTTCCAAAATTTCTTGTCTCAGCGCTAAACCTACCGGGATCTAAATGCAACTAACAAGTGTCGCGTTACAAGGATTACAGAATAGAGTTTACTTAACATTTTCACGATTCTAATAATATCGTGTGCCTGAATAGATACATAAGTTTAACAATTTCTAATGGAAGCAGCTTTATGACTTCGACAATTATGAGATAAAAAATGTGAAACCGGTCGTTTGAGCGGCGGTGGTAGGTTTAGTGTTGATATTCTCCGAATCTTAAAAAACAAAATAACTTTCCGCACGACAAAATTCTCTCCAATTGTTTCTTAGCTTGTAAACAAATATGGTCAATTTGGCAAGAGGAGATTCGATTATTCGAGCCTCGCGGCATGTATTTGTAGTCGCCGATTAGTATAATTGTATTTCCTCTGCCCAAATTGTCCATTTTTGTATACAAACTGTGGGACAATTGGAGAGAATTTATTGTATACAATAATTTCTCCCGGAAATACCAAATTTCGGGTTGCTGCGAATTTCCCTGTGCTAGTCCTACGCCTATGTAATTTATTGCTACGCCGATGCTAAGGTTTGTCGGAGTCGATCAAGGTGAATCAAGTCAAATCGTAGCACGTGGCCTCCGAATTGTCTTCAAATCGTGGCAAGAAATTAGAGATAAAAAAGTTAAGTTATAGTTTTTATCCTAGAAATGTCAAATTTCGGGTTGCTGCGAATTTCCCTATGCTAGTCCACAAATTGTGGGACAATTGGAGAGAATTTACTGTATACAATAATTTCTCCCGGAAATACCAAATTTCTGGTTGCTGCGAATTTCCCTGTGCTAGTCCTACGCCTATGTAATTTATTGCTACGCCGATGCTAAGGTTTGTCGGAGTCGATCAAGGTGAATCAAGTCAAATCGTAGCACGTGGCCTCCGAATTGTCTTCAAATCGTGGCAAGAAATTAGAGATAAAAAAGTTAAGTTATAGTTTTTATCCTAGAAATGTCAAATTTCGGGTTGCTGCGAATTTCCCTATGCTAGTCCACAAATTGTGGGACAATTGGAGAGAATTTACTGTATACAATAATTTCTCCCGGAAATACCAAATTTCTGGTTGCTGCGAATTTCCCTGTGCTAGTCCTACGCCTATGTAATTTATTGCTACGCCGATGCTAAGGTTTGTCGGAGTCGATCAAGGTGAATCAAGTCAAATCGTAGCACGTGGCAAGAAATTAGAGATAAAAAAGTTAAGTTATAGTTTTTATTCTAGCATTACTATTCAATTTTTATAAAAAAGAGCCACGAGGCTCGAAGAATCGTGTCTTAGCGCGACTTAGTATTCTCGGATCTGCGTGTTTCGATTCCGACTTCAAACATTTCTGGGAGAAATTACGCCTAACAACTGTCACGATTAGAGAAGCAACGAAGTTCGCAGTCTGTTCACCTCGGATCAGTCGCTCGGCCGAAAGAAAATTAATTAGCCGTTTCATTCTAGAACGATGGCAGTGAGCCTGGTGATGACCTCCGGCAGAATCGGCTCGATAATCGGGAACGTGCTGTTCCCGGTGCTCCTAGCATACGGCTGCATAGCTCCGATCCTGACGCTGTCGGGCTTTCTGCTAAGTAAACAATCTCGACTACATTGCCCCGCGAACAAAAGCGCGCGGCGTAAACATCGTAACTCATCATCTCGATTCCAGGTTGCATCGCGCTGACTTGCCTGCTGCCTCGGTCCCGGAAAACCGACGAATAACGCGAGGAATCCTCGTTCCGACTCGACCTCGGCCGGAGTTCCCGCCAGTAATTCTCCGTCGAAGGCACCGCGGCGGTCTTTCATCGTGGAACTGGGCCAACCGTGCGCGGATCCCGAACCCTCGGTTTGCGTCAGAATATCGAGTCGTTCGGCGGAAAAGTTAGCAAGTGGAGTGCAGGTACTCTGATCGATAGTATCCTGTCCGGATATCATCGCGGTCCGTCTCGTTTTTGACTCGGCCGCCGGAATCTCGGCCGGCGATCGTTCGCGCGGCTTCCGCGCGGGCCCCGCGTTTCAAAATCGGCGCGCGTAAAAGCGAGTGGAAAAGTGGAAAGACGAAAACGGAGAAGGTTGCGGAGGAGTGCCAGTGGACTACGAGTCCGGGTCATCGAAGCGAGAACCACCATGGGGGAACGACGGTTGCACAATCGGCCGGCTGGAGGTTCCGTTGGGGGTCAGATTTTTCAGCCGCGGCCGCGGCCGCGGCGCAGATCGATACCGATCCGAAACGATGATCGAGCGCGTCGAGGACGATCGCCGAGCCGCGGCGACTCCTTAAGCGCGTCCGCACGCGGCGAGGCCTTGGGTTTCACTTTCGACACATCCTGGAGAGCCCTCCAGCCTTCACCCACATGCTCGTTCGTCTCGATCCCGTATACACACCTCGGGGTTCGGCTTTCTTGTGGACGCTGTGCCATGCTGCCGCCACCGCCGCCGTCATGCCGCTATCTCGCGCCCGGGATCTCGACAATCTCGACACGTACGCGGCCACGACCGCGCTCCTTCGCGGCGGTAAAACGGCAACGCGTCGCGCTGATCGAGTAATTACGCGTGTCCATAAAAACCGAGCGTGTACCTATTATATACTCGCCGGACGGTCGACAATAGGAGAAAGTCAAGGCGCCGATCGCGACCGGCCGCGTTCCTTCACGGTACACGTTCGATCGTCCCGGGCTGCTTCTTCCTCGTCCAATATCTAACTGGCTGATCACGTTGCCCGTTTCTTGCTGTCGCCTTGTACCGATCGCTTTAATCCTTCGAGGACGAATCTCGACGTATCGACGATAACATCTGCAGTTTAACGCTAGATTTACGGAGCACTAAAAGCAACTGTTTTATATTGGTTTGTAATAGTATAAGACATTTATACGGATTTTGAACGTGTGTTGTTGCTAGATTGCGGATCTTTGTGCAAATTTTGAGTTTCATACGTCATTTTGAAAAATATTAGAACTAAGAAACATATTTTTTCGTCAAGTAAAAGATTACATGCCGTAAAAATACAATAAAAATTGCACCTTGTTAATTTATACGTTTCCTTGCATTTTTAAAATTTGCACAAATCATGAATGTATAAAGATTCGTAGTCTAGTTATTGTAATGTTTGCCGCTAGTAACACGTGTATCGAATAAATAACTCGTAAATGTATTTTTGCTATTTGAATACTAATCGTAAATGAAGAAATTGGTGACCCACCATTTTGACGGGATCCGTGAACCTAGTGTTAATAATGACGATACGGTGCCCAATGGAACCGGTTGGTTCAAAATACAACTAATGCCTCCGTTGACAAAAAAACGAAAACATTTTCCGAAGAATCTAATATGTAATTCGATCCCGTTCAATGTACATTGTACACAACAAAAGATTCTAGTTCTCCGAGGCAAATATTTTTTGTACTATAAAAGTTCTCGTCCGCGACGATATTTGGTCGAAAGGCTGCATTATTATAAACGATCTTCGTCCACGGGAGAACGACTGTACAGTTTAATTTTGTATCGATTCTCAGGGAATCAGCTCCAGGTTAAAGAATATTTACAGTTCTGTCGATAGTGTTAATAAACTGTAAATTGTGGAGTGTATCTAGCCTCGCTGGTATCTCTTCGAGTGAAATATGCTGATGTCTGTATTAATTACGAATTTCAAGATTGCTTCAATCAGGAAGACAGCTCCGAAGACTACTACATACCTCGAGCACACACGTACGTAGGACGTTTGTATATTTAAGTTGGTCGGTACACCTGTCTTAATCAAATAAATCGGGTTGCGAATCAATTAACGGCAGGCATGAAGCCAATTCCTGGGAACGAACGCACGAAACTGTGAATGAATCGAGTCGAATCGAACGAATCTCGAACGGATCAAATGGAACGGATCGGGATCGATCCGATCGAATCGAACGCATCGGAATATCTAAAGTAGACCCGGAAGAAAAGGAAACGATGGTCCGTTTACGCGAGCTGTCTCTCCCTCGGACAGAAAACGACGATCGAGAAGAACCGAATCGTTCGGAATAGCTCGACGCGTTTTCTCGGCCGTTCCGTGTAAGAACCGCGTGGCGCCTACGACAGCATTCCAAATAAATTGCGGAAGGCGAGCATGCGTCCAGAACGCGTGTTACGGTCCCGAGAAAAACGTGTTGGCATTGCTCCCTCGTTTTTCCATCGTTCGCGCAACGCCGTTTACTTTGAAGAGCTCCACATTGTTAGTCCAATTTAAATATAAATGGCGAACAAGCTCGGCTGTTCCGCGAGCAGAGACCGTTCTTATTCAGATGCCCCGCGAACAATTTGCTTCATTCTCTTTCACGCGTCTCCGTTCTTTCTGCCGGCAATTAGCGGTTTTATCGAGACGGTCGACTTCGCTCGAAAATCACCGGCCTCTCCGAAATGTGAACGCTACGCGAATCGTTGCAATGGAGATCATTTTACCCTGGAATCGTCGAAATCAATCGCGGTTTTGTCACTTTGGACATCTTCGTCGGACGATCGAGTAATTACTTCTGCCTTTTAAGGGACTACATACTCTTTCTTTGTCAATGAACCGACGATTTTTACGCGGTCATTTTTATGCATGACAAAAATGAATACGTCGAATATAAGGTAGTCGACGCTTTGGCAGAATTTAAGCAGTTAGCTGTGGCGCCTCCATTTCAGAGCGCGCACCTATATGTGTCGCGAGAATCAAGCGACGACGAGTATACTCGTCGAACACAATGTAAGTGTCGCTGTTAAAATATTGGATAAAAAAGACGGTTTTATTTGATAAAATTAACAATTTTATCACTAATATTTACTTATTCACTTGACGTTAACATATTCCATATACATAATAAACGAAAAACCCAGGGATAATCGAATACTTATAAAAGTTAAAAATTCAAATTGCTGTTGCAGAGAGAGTGGTATTTAGCAAAGCAAGGAACAATATATAATGGCACCTTGCACGTCGAACACCAGTACCGTGATTCTTTTCTAATTTTATTTTTATAACAATGTAAACAACTTCGTGCAGGATTGGCCTCAAAATATTCTGAACATCTTGAAATTTGAGAATATGTTTTTGTTTTCCTTAAAATTACAATTTAAATAGCCAATGGTC